CACAAGTGAACCCCAAAAAAAAGACACAGGTGACCCCCCCTTCCTGCTTCAGGTACAGCCGGGCCGAGGCGGACGACGCGAAGCGCTTAAAACTAAGATGTCTTGAGAACTGTATCGGGGGTTTGGTTCATGCAACAATCTGTACTGCCAAGCCGGAAATCCGATGGACGTCTTCCTCTGGCAGCAGAGTCAACCTTCCACAAACTCCATGCATAGCTTTGCGATATTCGCAGCCTGAAGCTCCGTGAAAGAGTCGGCAAAAATATCCCATTCTGCTGCGATCAAAATGCCTGGTGAAACCTGAACCTAGGAACCATAAACCCCTAAACCCAGAAACCCTCAACTCAGAAACATCCCTGAGCCCAGAAACCCTGGAGCGAAGCTGCCAAACCCACAAATCCCAAAAACCCTAAACCACAAACCCGTAAACCCTGAACCCAGAAACCCTAAACCTCTCAACCCTAATCATCGCCCAAGTTCAGAAGTCCTCTGAACGCAGAAACCCTGAACCCCTGAACCCCTAAGCCCAGAAACCCCTGAACCCGAGCCCAGAAACCCGAAACCCACAAACCCGTATACCGTAAACCCTGAACCCAGAATTGCTACATCCCTGAACCTGGAAACCCTATACTAAAGGACCGCTCGAATACGTGTAGATCCGCACCAGGGTAGCCTACCAACTGGCGGGCTGTTTTCCCTTTGCAAGCTGTTGTGCGCCTTTCTGTTTTCCCTAAAGATCCCTAAAGCTTGCTGGATCTCGACCTCTGGGGTATCCGATTTCCGCCGCGGGGACCAACGGACCGAATAAGCCCTGTAGAAGAAGGAGGCCTTAAGGCACAGCAGCACGTACTTCTTGTACGCGTCCGCCTGTCAGACTTGGCAGCCACAAGTGCACTCTCGACCTCTCACAGGCAGGGCCTGGATGGCACTTAGGCAGGTTGCAGGGCCTCAAGAGAAAAAGTAGGGGCACGACAGGACAGCGCCACAGCGGCTCGCGTTCGTCCAAGGCTCATGTGAGGACCACCAAAAGCATCTGCAGTGCTTTCAGAAACTCGCGTGTCCCTGCGAGGATGTTCAATCACGCACAAACTCCGTCGCCTGCTTGCAAGATGACATGGGCACTCTATGGAACTCTCCCTTCCCCAGTTTTGCTCGTTCTGCCCCGTCTCACTCAGCTCCAGCAGCTCGCGGGTCATCTGCGACCTGGGAAAGCTACGAGGCAGGAAAGTCAGAGGCGACTGCGCAAGGACACGAAGCCGTCGTTTTCACTGCTGCAGTATCGCAAAGTCAGGCGAGCCGGCTCCCCACCAAGCATCTGTGCCAATCGGGTGCGACACCATTGCATACGACCCCTTATTCCACGATGAGCCGGCAGCTCTTCTGCCAGGTCAACATCGACACGACCTGCTTTGAACCCGTCGCTGAAGCCTGCACTGCGCCAGTGGGGGACTTCGGTCCTTTGACTGTGCCCTTTCCGCCTCCGACTCTGTGGGCGTGGGCAGAGAGCTCAGGAAAACCCGCGTGCGCCGAAGCGCCGCCTGGGCCGCGGCCTGGGCCGCCCTTTGCATCTCCGCGTGAGCGTGGGGACCACCACGGATCTTCGTTTCGAGCTTTTTCAGCAGCCGCAGAGCCTGTGCCACTTCTGCCTCGGCGCCCAAGGGCTCCACGAAGCGCCTTCGAAGCAGCTCTCCGTGTTTCGTGAGGAGCCGGAAGTTGGAGCCGGGAGAAAGCTCTCCCTGCTCCAGCTCGAAGTCCATGCGGGCTCCCTCTGCAAAGAGCACCCGCACAAGCCGCCGCTCACATGAGCGGAAGACCGTGAGGCACGCGCCTCCTTCCTCCAGCTGCGCCTCGTGCAGCCACGCAGGAGCTCCAGACCCCGGCCCCGGCCCCGGCCCCGGCCCAGGCCGCTGGGGATCGCTGCAGATCCCAACTCCCGCGCCCCGCGTTACGCTCTCAGAGCTGTTCTGGCGAAGCCACAACGAGGCCTCCTCTACCAGGGCGATCAGCCGGCAGGCGAAGGGAGAGTCCCCTGGCCCGGGCGGAAGCAGATCCACGCACAAGACATCGGGCAACTGCCACTCGAGGTTTGAGGCTACCATCTTCCAGAAACGACCACTTAGCGAGGATTCCAGAAAAGCCCACTGATACCCAGACCGACACAGAGAGGAGTCTTCTGAGCCCAAATCTAACAGCTCGACACTGGCCTCCGCATGGCCCAGTCGTATGGCTGACTGTGGCGTCCATGACAGCATGACCGGGCCCTCACCGAATGTACCCATACATGCAGCAGGAGAGATGTCGTCGCCGCTGTGGCTGCCACAATGAGCTCCATCTCCGATTTGGGCGGCGGGGAGCGGCACCGTCACACAATGACCACTGTCAAGAACGGTGCCGCAGATCTGACACTGCTGCAACGTCTCCGCAAGACCTCGTATGAGATCGCCTCTCTCGTCGCATGTCTGGTGCCGAAGCAAACAGATCAGCAGGGGGTAGACCCATGCAACTTCCACGGGCTCTTGAACTGCGAAGCACTGAACTTGCTGGACGCAGTCATGGAGGCCAGCAGCTCGATCTTCGCTACGCGAGAGGAAGGTCCCGTCCGGCCAAGTTTCAGGGTTTTCAGAGCTCGCCATTACTTCCTGAAGCTGAAGGGAGCTGGAAGAGTCTGCAATGGGCCGCAGCCACTGGACGACGAAGGTCCTTCCATGTGGGGCCAAGGTCAGGTGTACTGAGCCATCCAACGACGAAACCTCCACACTTCCGTCCTCCCGGGATTGAGGGGCGTGTGACGGCCACACTGCCGCGGACGGCTTCAGCAGCTTTTCAAAGCATTTCCGACGTGACTCCACCGGAACAAGCGACGATGGATGTGGGTGGAATTGATCCCTCACGGCTGCTGCCGCCATGATTTTGGCGCGCACCTCTGCGCGTCCAAACTGCGGAGAGCATGTCGACAGCAAGCGCTGTCGTCGACCATCGGAAGTGAAGAAGCTTGCTTTCGCAGCATTGGGCGGATGCAGAATGACTGCAGACCCGTCGCTGAAGGTGGCTTCAGCCCTGCCACTGACATACAAAACAAGTCGTTCGGTAACCCAGGTCTCTCCTGCCATCAGTCGACATGCGCACACAATGCGAAGAAACTGTCCATCGGCTTTGCTTAGCAGGCTGGCATGGACGGGTCCATTGACTCAGAAATAGGAGTGCGCTCATCAGGCTTATCACCCCCTTGGCCCTATCATGTCCAAACGTCATTCTCTCTTGGCCGTAGCTAGCTGTGGTTTGGGCCCACGTACCTGATTCGTGGTCGCATGCGATCAGCAGGCATCGGTGTGGTGGAGTCAATGCTTCGGCACGCTGAGCAGGGAGCGCCAAGGTCAGGGCGGAGAGGGCCTGAAATGCCCCCCCCCCCCCCCCCCCCCACATTGTCCGCTCAGATCCCACGGATCCCACGGCCAGAGCTTCCGAGCCGGTCCTAGCCTCTGGATCTGCGCTTTCAGCAGCTTCCTCTCGATCACCGCCGTTTCCGGCAGGTTTCGTGGGCTCCTGCTTGTGGGACCACTCGCATCCCCTCTTCATGCACGTGCACTCGCACCTGCGGCGTCCCAATTTCGATGGGCGCTGCATACCAGGTCTCGTCTGGGCCCAGGCCCGGGCCCTTCACGTGCCCAGGATTCCGTTCGACTTCGGCTCCTCCAAACCCACCTCTGACGCTAGGTGAGTCTATACGAAAGGAGGGCTGACTGGCTCTGCTCTGGGCCCCCCCACCGCTTTCGCTTTGTGGCACCGGCACCGGGGAGCTCCGCACCTCGATGTCCTCTCAGCAAACAGGAGTGGCCCCCCCCCCCCCCGCGGCTCAAGTGTGCTTCTCCCCCTTTCGCTTCCTTGCACTCGGCTGCCTCGGCTGCCTCGGCTTCGTCCCCGCTTGGCCCGCTTGGCACCTCATCTCAGGGCCGGCTTGGAGACGCCACAGGGAAGGGAGCCTGGATGGACTGGACCTGCCCGTCTAAGCTGCCACGAAGACAGGAGACCCTCCGCGGAAAGCCCCATCATCCCGACACGCACAGCACCGCACAGCACAGCCAGCGCACATCTAAAGTCAGCAGGCCTGATAGCGCATTGAAGGACTGCCACGACCTGTGCGGTCGACGTTGAAACCTCACAGATAATCACGGCACGAAACGTGCTGCAGAAAGCATGGCTAGGACCAAAGCGGAAATATTGCGCTTCTTTCTCTGAGGTGCCAACCAGCTCCGCAGAGGTGCGATGAAAAGCGTGACTTTGGCCTTTCCTTTTGCCGCGAGCACAGGCACGAGCGACCTGCACGTTCCGGTTCGAAACATATGAGCTTCTGAGTCTGTCTTCAGACTCTGCCTCTGGCGCCAAGTCGAAGCACACGGAGGCGTGCACCTTCCGTTGCACCACTCCCTCCAGCAGCCTAGGGGCGGAGCATGGAGTGGGGGCCTGTAGTCGGTCCTCTTTGTCCTCTTGCCGCGCTGTGGCCAAGAGTACCCAGAACGGCCTCCTCGGAACCTTCGGCCACTGTGACCGCATCGACGCTACCCGCCGCAGAGCCCGGTCCGGCGTCGCCCCCGCGCCTGGCGCACCTTGCTGGACTCCGCCTCGAAGAGCAGGGCCTTGCCTTACAGAGACTTCGGTTGAGGGCCCGGTTGCCTGTGCTTGGGCCCAGGCCCTAGGCCCTGGGCAACCCTTTCAGTTATGTAGATCTTTGTGATGTTTTGTTGGGGGGCGGCGTGACCATAAGTGTGAAATGCGTATCTCCGACACTCGTTGTTTCAAGGTCGATGCGGAATTCAGGTGCCGCAGGATTTAGTTGTGAGCCGTGTCGCAAACGGGGTGTCCGAGTCATAGTCTCGAGTTTTGCAGAATCCCGTTCCGATTGCGTTCCGAGCTGCCGCGGCCCGCAAAGTTCACGGTCTCGGACGGAGCCTGAAACGGAGAGGGACTCCCTCTCTCGCCGAGCGCGAGCAGGCAGCTACAAGTAGTATCCTACCAATGCTGCAGGAAACAACATGCAGCGACATTGAAGCGATAGGTCCATCAAGATTCCTCCGGATGTCTCTGCTTGAGAAACACGTAGGCCCGCATTGGGCATGGCTTGCCGCTTTCATCTCGTTTCATGATCTCACTTGCCTAGGAGAAAGAACTAGCGAAAAGGTCAGTCACTCGGCCCACATTTGTCTGACTTCGCAGCTTCTTAGAAGCTTGTCCGATGTGTTTGGGAATCTTCACAGGCTTGGCCTGCGCAGGGGGAGCCAACAGCTCTGGTGCAAAGTCCATCGCACAGAGGACCAGCAGCGGAGCCTTCCAAGAAGAACGACAATGATCGCCGCGCACAGACCTGTCGGACCCTTCCTGTCCGTCCAGGCCTCGACGACGGAGGGCCCAATCTCCACAGACCTGTGCACTTGGGCGCTCCCGGATGCTCCGACCTCCCCACATCCCCACGTCTCCCCTGCCTCTGCAGAACGAGTTCAGTTGCTGCAAACTCCAGGGAAAGGACCACTGTCTCAGCGGTCGTCTCCATCGAATCCACGCCCAAGGCATGAGGGCTCGTTACGACCGGGCACGCCGAGATGGTTGCTGTGGGGCTTCAGACCAAACTCTCACAAGCCAGTCAGCGAAAGACTAGAGCACGATGGACAACGGAACTCCCTAGTGCTGCTTGACACTATCCTCTGGAGCCACCACATCCAGCTGCCGCAAACAGACTAAGGAGGCAGGGGGTGCAGTGGCGGTGCGCGTACCAATCCGAACAAGTGCGCCGTAGTAGAAATAGCTCAGGAAGCCTGGCAGGCAGGGGCAGTGCGATTCCCTCCGGACCGTCGTCACAAAACAAGCCCTCGAGGCTCTGTGGCGTCAGTTGCGCGGGACTGCTGTTGCCGGTACTGTTGCCTTCGAGGGCAACAAATCCGAAAGGGACTTCCGTGGCCGGGCTCGGGAGGCAACTCGCAGAGATGTCGAAGATCGGCTGGTCGAGGAGCCGCGCTGCCAGGTGGTAGACCTCCAGAAAGCGGAGCTGGGAAGACGGAGCGAGCGGAGCGGGGAAACAGCCTCCGCGCCTTGACTTTCAAGCAGACGCGCAGGAACTCCGAGTGCACCGGCGTCTGTGGTTGCCGGGAGAAGGGTTGACAAGCGGCCAGTGGCCGGCAAGGCGCGTGAAGAAAAACTTGGGGTCCCGCCAAGGTCTCGGGCGTGTCTTGCAGCTTTTCCAAGGCAGACCGCAAGGGTTTCAGGCTCTTCAGCATCGCCTCGCATGGCTAGCCAAGGTGCCCATTGCAGCATATTGCAGCGGCCAAGAAAGCCGACCTGCTGTCCCAGCTCGATGGCCATCTGAGAGAAGCTCCGGCAAACCGCTGTCATGGGAGATGCCGCCTTCTTGGCCTTGGCTTTCTCTCTGCTTGGCACCCCCGGCCCCCAGGCCGGCCCAGGCCCTCCCTCCCTCAAAGGCCTGGAGTCCGTCGGCGACTTGCAGGAAGTTGCAGATGAAGGCCTCGATTTCCCCACGCAGACGGGCACGCGCACCCGGCCCGAGGACTCCGAGGACCGGACGAAGGTCGCCCGCTGGTTTGAAAACACGGCAGCACTCAGCTGCGCCTGAAATGGCGGAGTCGAAAAAGACACGAAGTCGGCGCCAAGATGCCGCCCCTGCCGCGCACTGCCGCTATGGCGGCCTGCAGCAGGTAGGCCACGCCCAGGGTGCACTGCCTCCAAGGAGTAATTTCTCAAGATCCCACGCCTCCTGTGAGGGTCTCTTAGGCCGATGCACGGGATCCAGCGCTTGCAGGGCTTGATCGATCTGCGGTGCGTTTGCCTTCGGCAGGCTGCAGAGTTCTCGCCAAGGTCGCTTCGCATCTCTGGGCCTTGAGGGTCTCCTGCTCATGTCTCAGGAAGTCCTGTGCACAGGCACACAATGGGAACCCTTCACAAGCAGAAAGCAGGCCCTCCTTGAGCTTCTTGAGGTCGCTCTCATTCCTTTCGAGTGGGTCTGCTACCAGACGCTTGCAGCATGCGGGAATCTGAAACCACTGGCAAACGACTGCTCCTGTCAGTGAAATCGCTTCGATACTCTGCAGTCAGCGAAGCCACTTCAACCAGAGTGATCCCAGAAGGCGTCAGTTGGCAGCTCGTGCATTACGTCCGCTAATACTTGCAATCTCCATTTGTCTTTCCGAACAATACGCGATATACGTGAGACTTCAGACTTAAAACGCTGTACCATCTTCGCATTGCAGGCCCAGCCTAGGAAGTATGGGACCTGCTCCAACAGTCAACTTGCTCACCAACAAGTGCTTGCTGTGCCACGACCCCTCTCGGTACTACCTGTTGACGGCTCGCACGCACGACGTTAAAAACATGTGCATACGCCCCGACCTGCATTGTCTGGAACCAGACATTATACAATTACTGTATTCAAGTCCTAGTCTACAGGTTCTTTCTGATGAACTTGACTCCTGTGTTGATGAAAGACCTGCCAAGCGCAACAAAAGCATAATCTCTTCCCCGTAGCAATACATCCCCCCCGATACAAAGAATGAGTTTAGGCCTCCTGTTCTGTATGCAAAGGAGATTTGGGGTAGTTTCATGGGTTCGGCCTGCAGCCGGCAGACCCTGCCGTTCTACGTTCCTGCGGATCCCGCAGCCGGCAGTCCCCTGCAGCCTGTAACACAGCACGCAGCCCTTGCAGCCCCCTGCGTTTCTGTGCAGTCCGCTTTTCCCCTGCATTTCTGCATTCTTCTTAACTACTGCAACATGCAGTTGCTGTTGTGATGCCTGTGATGATATTTGCTGATGTCTCGAGCGGCCCTATATAGTAGGTACCTGGAGGGTGAGGGAAGAGGGATAGCCAATAGTTGCAACAGTAGCCCTGGGCAGTCGGAGTATTTGTTGACGAGTTAAACATTCGAAACTGTACTACTTTTGATTGTGGCACTGCGAATTCCGGATCCCAGACCGCGAGTTCCGTGTTTTAGACGTCCAGCTTCGTAGCATCAATAGCATTAGTTAGATGATGACTCACTGCTTGCTAAGACTCATACAGTCCTCTCTTTCCCCTACTTGTTTTCCTTTAGCTTCAATGGCGAAGTCTGAAACTGCAAAAAAAACGCCTGCTCAAACTGATGCCACAAACTTCGAACCGAGGCTCTGTGTCGAGAGCGTGTGAATCTGATGGACGACGCTGTCCATGCCGCTTATCGGGCCTGCGGTGCGTTGCAGACACCACCACAGAATAGGCAGAGGATCGGAACTTAGTGCCATCAGGCCACAGCGCAAAAGGCTGATTCCGTGGCTTCTGCCATCTTGCCCACTCCCACTGTTAGGACCAACGGCAGCAGGGGGAGCGTAGAAACAGTGGAGCCTGCAGAGAAACAAACCCTCAACTCTGCATGATCCTCCATGTCCCCTGTCACCAACGAGCACAGCTTCCAAGACAGACTTCTGAGGTCCTCTAGAGACTCTATCTAGAGCCAACACACACAACAAGCAAGCTCACTTCATACCTTTCTTTACGACGTAACATCATTTTGCGGTCGACGTTCAACACGGAAGAGAAGTCTAAGACTAAGACAAGCCCAGATGGAGACCCACCTGGTCAAGCGCCGGCGAAAGTGCTCGAGGTTTCGCGTGCTTATTGGCCATCCGGGAACTGGAACGTGCAAGCGTCGGGGCCCTAACAAATAACAGATCACAGCAAATAGTCCGCCCACCGCAACAGTGCATGCGCAGCGCCACGGGAATAGTTGCGGGCGACAGAACAGTCAGGATGCGTTTGCTTAAATGTTGTAGGCGCTGTTCTGGCAAACCTCGGAGCCGCATGAAAGCTGCGCTTGAGCGCTTGGCCCTCTTGAATCACCCCCCGCGGGCAAACCTCCAAACAAGTTTCAGGAGTTTCAGGGGACCCTAAATTGACCGGAAGGGTCCTCGTGTTATGAAATCCCTCAGTTTGGAGTTTGGAGGAAGATTTTCTGAACAATTTTCGGGTGCGCTGGGCTCGGTGCTGGAGATCTAAGATGCACAGAGCGTCACCCGGGCAGCAGCCGCGGCCGATAACGAAACAAGGCGGTCTTTGCTGCGATGGCCTAGGGCCATTAAGACAAAGTTACATAGTTTCGTTCCGCAATGCACTGACATGAACAGTAAAGACACGTTGGTGGAACAATCAGCGGTTCAGGTTTAGGGGTACCACAAACGACATTGGGTCAGCTGGCATGGGGTTGCAGAAGAAGTAGTGTTCCGTTTTCAGCGGCTCTCCCTCTCCAGGATTCCCTTGAGGAACCCCGAGCCGGCTCGGCGAGACTTCTCGAATTGTTCGAGTGCTCAGAGCTCAGAGTCGCAGGTGAGGACCTGGCGTTTCGACGTTTCTGCACGGATCTCTGCCATGGCTTAAAGCGGGGCTTCGGGCAGTAGGGCGTCTTCGTCTTGTGCATGTGGTCGACGAAGAGGCAGACATCACCTCAAGGAGAGCAGCTGAGGCCTGAGGGCCTGAGGGAGAGGGAGGGGAAGGGGGCACAGCACAGCGCGGGTTGTTGAGGACGCTTCAGGATTGCTTGCCAAACCTGTCCTCTGGCTTCTCAGCCTCGGAAGGTGAGTGCTTCAGATTCCCCACACTTCGCGGCTTACCTTCAGGCCAGCGCTGTCTTCCATCTCGAGCCGTACATCTGGTTGCACGTCATTGGAACAACAAAGTCGCCTCGGAAACCCATGAAACCGATCAGACTCCGAAGAGAGTCTACCTGCTAGACCCTTAGCCTTAGGCACGGGCGCGTCGCTCGCTCGATCTTCCTCTCTGTGGCAGAAGGCAACCTGCGGCGCAGCGATCCGAAGTGCGGCACCGGTCAAAGCCGGTGTCTTCCCAGGGCCTCTTCTCGGTCGCCTGCCGTCCTGGCGACCAGGCCAACAAACAAACCAACACTAACACGAGTACTAACATGTCTGCGTATAGGTCTGCGCTGCGCAGAAAGTGCCAAGGAGCGAAAGCTTCATGCTGGGACTAAGACGAAATTCGAGAAACACCACACAGGAACCACGCGAGAGGTTGTGCAGGCGGAGGTCGCCAGCACAAGGGCCGGCTGTCAACTAGAATCCCAGCGCTGCACCAGATGCAAAAAACATGCTGACATGCCATCCTGAACTGTGCAACGAGGTTGTTCGTTGTCCTGCGGCCACGAGTGCGCTTTCCGGGAAGTCAGCAGAGGTCACGGTGCCTAGCACCTGAAGGCCGAAGTTGAGCACTGCCAATGCCATCTTTGAACTCCTTGCATCTGAGCTGCTCGAGCGGCTTCCCGAACTCCCTCCTCTGTCAGCATGCCTTGCCAAAGTTCCAGGCTGCCTAATGCTGCCTCTCTGGAGCATCAGGAAAGTGGCCAACTGGTCAAAGCAAGCTATCCACTCGGCGATGGTAGCTACACTGTACCCCGAAGTCAGTGCTTGTTGAGAAAGTTCTGCTGTGTCTCAGCAAGGGTGACGGATCAAAAAACATGATTAGGATCAAATAAAACAAGGATCTAGACGGTAAAACAAGGATCAACAAAAACAGCACTACGCCACCAACCTACAGAAAAACGTAAGGTGAGGGATCAAAACGAATTAAAATTAGGGTCAAAAATTAGGATCAAAAAAATTAAAGTGGCCGGCGTAATAGTAATAGTAATAGTAAT